TATATATATTAACTGAAGATACGCAGCCTGTGACAACCGAGTACGGTAGTTTTGTAACCTATCACAGCCAAATGATCATTTGTATGCCAATTCATAAATTATGAAAATACAACTCATGAACATTTATATACAAACTGTCACCAGCCGTGTACAACAACAATCGAATTATCAACAGAATCTCATTCCTAGAGTATGACGAAATATTACGACATATCTTTAGGCGGGTGGTTGTACAGAGTTATAAGTTAACATTATATTGATGGTGAGTATCTATTGATACTTTCATGTCCGAAGGCTTTTACTTAATTGGTACCGGTAGGTCTCCGGCCATTTTAACATAAAACATCAATACAAATACAGTGAGTTTGTTTGTTTTTATTTATTTATTTTTATTTATTTTATTTTTATTAAATTAATTTTATTTATTTATTTATTCATTTGTTCAATATCAAGATAAAAGCAATACAAGACAAAATCTACAACAAACAAGATGTTCCTTACCTGAGGATTGCCAAAAGTGCAAGCACTATCAAGTGGCGCTCCTACTATATGCTAAACATAATCACAAAAATACTGTACTTTAAATAACATTTGAAGTCATTTTGACATTCCAAAATAAGACTTCAATCTTGTATCGGTTGCATTTGCACTGCCGAATATCATTTTACAGGAAATACTAACACTTCCGATGCGTTACTGATGTTTGTACTTCGAGTTCGGTAATGGGATAACAGTATAAACAGAGCGCTAGGAAGTTTTCTACCATTTACTACTCAGTTGGTAGAAAATAATGGCACAATGCAATCATCTTATTTATGTGAGTTTAGGCATGTATACGGATTTATGTAAGTCAATATTATCTCAAGGGAGATATGGTAATTTGATGCCTCAACCGTAAAAATGACCGTCGTCCTCTCCTTGATGTAGCTTTGATTAAGATTAAAAATATACTGTACCATCTGCCATAGAATACTTTTAAAAAGCCTTTAAAATTTACTGAAAAACGCTAATATAGATAGTTAACAAAAGATCCGATGAAACAAATTGGTTTCGCTCATTTTTAAAATTTTATTACAAAATCCTTAGACTTTAAATTAAAAGAAGCTCTTTCCACCACACTATCAAATTTCATTTGACAAATGTGTGTGATGTGCCCATATATGGACACAATGATGTCATACCACACCCAAATATGGGCATGTCACATTTATTTGTCACGTGGAATTTGATAGTGTGGACAGAGATTTGTTTTCAATTGAAAGTTATTTTTTACTGAAACGTACAATTAACCGTAAGCAATTCAAATATATGGTTGTTCGTCTAAGAGTGTATCTTTAATCACGGAAACATTGGTGCTGTCAATAATGCAGGTCTGACAATGGGGCTATACTAGGCATATGGGGCTATACTGGGCATATGAGACTATGTCAACAAGGAATGTATAGATTGTATTAATTTATTAATTCGAGGATAATTATAAACCAAGCTTTGAATTTCTTAGTTGGATTAATTTCTTATTTGGAGTAAATAAAAAAAACTAATGCTGTCATATTTACACTGTATTTATAATGGATGAGAAAGTATAATACATACACATTGCAATGCACGCCATCGTGTATAGATTATAATGGATGCATTCGTGTATTTACATTAGAGATATGAAACGTCGAGACTAAATATAAATTTCGAGATTGAAAGTTGGAATTTCCAGGAACTGTGTCGGCACAGAGACCTATTATGATTTCACTATTGAACAAATAATATAAAATAAATTAACAATTCCTAAGTGAATTGCCTGTGGTTTTAGATCGGTATAGTTTTTTGGGAAAACCCCTATGAAAATATGGAGCTGGGTCGTTGAAAATCTCGTACTCAAATTTAATGGAGAGGTATGTTTAAAGCCGGGTGGTTGAGCTATTTATGTTACAATCTGATACACAAATGTCGTGGCCTTGAGGCAATGATTACATTTGGACATAAATAGGCATACAGGTCTCCCTCTAATTAAATACAGGACCGCCTCCAAGACCACCTCCAATTAAAGACCACTTTTGTGTGGTCCCCTATAAACAGATATTTTTTACCTTTATTATTCTCAGGCCCGTAGCCAGGTTCTTCCAAGGGGGGGGGGGGGGGGGAGGTTATGGGCGTGAGGTCCACCGTCGAAGCCCCGGTGTGATCGGCGAAACCCCCAAAGCAAAGAGGATTTTTGTGCTTTATGGGTCTAAATAATGCTATAAAAGCAGATATGTTTGAAAACTTGTGTCTGGGTGGGTCTGCAGTGCATTAGTTGGGTTGGAGGACTTTAATATTTGGGAAATTTGAAAAGGGGGTTCGCCAAAAAAAGAGGGGGTTTGCTAGAAAAGGGGTTCTCCCGAACCATACACCCACCCCGGATACGGGCCCGATTCTAATTAGAGACCAAATTTGCTAAAGACCATGGAAACCCCGATCAAAAGGCGTCTTTGATTCAAGGGAGACTTGGATCTAGCTATCACAGAGACATTTACAAAAAAATTGTCGTTTTAATACCCTGGATAAAGTAATACCATTAAACTCAGGACTTAATACATTGATATTCATAATAGCTTGGATTCTACTAGTAATAAATCCTTGAGTAAGCTTCCATCTCCTTCTGGACTACCAAAACCGAAGACCAATTTACATCTTGAAAATTTAGTTGTGGTTAACTATTTTCGGTATTTCCGTAGGCGATTCCTATATAGGCAATTCCCGTAGGCGATATGATCCGTCCACGCATACAACCGAAGTAGGCCTATTGTGTCAGGGACTGCTCATACGTAATTAGTGACCTTGAAATGGGCGTTGGCCTACCATGGGGAATGTGTAGTAATTTTTTAAGAAGCCACGATACAATAGATTCCTTGCTAGTCAAATCAACACTTATATCTTTAGAAGATAAAATACACTGATAATTTAATTGTTGGAGGAAAGAGGTCTCCTTAATTAAAGCGCATAAAATAGCTTCTATGTCTAATAGGCAATTTGGCTTTTGTAATTAAATTGTATGGACGCGGAGCTAATCATAGAAGCTACTTCATTGTAAAATCGGGTTATACAAACAATAGGCTAATGTATAATAGACATAAGGATATAGTCCATAGAGAAAGAAAAGTATAGTTTAAGTCTGACCTAACCAACAAGCCTTTCTAAGTTTCGTTACACTAGGGAGGTATAAAAATAATATCAAATATTGAGGCGTTCAAATTCACACGCTGTCAGAGACTATTTAGGCACAGGCCTACTTTACTGTTGTATATGAATATATCTTTAATTAAGTAGCCGTACATATGGTATCATCTGCACTCCTAAAAATTAGTAACTAAGTTCCCTACAGAGATTGACTAACTAAACCAATGAAACATGCTGTAAAAGCATAGCGTACACTAAAAAAAATTGACATTTGACCTCAGAAAGGATAAAAGGCAGTTGCACAACTGTGTGTATTTTGTGCTTTTACTATCGTATCGATTTGCTACCTATTACTGTATTCAGAATACTATGACGGTGTTGTATTCCACAACACGTAACTCAAGATCCTATTAGCTATACCGCTTATGCATAATGTTATTTATCGCACGGCAGCTGATATTTAACATTTTTTATATAAACCTAATGCTGCTGTTTGCATCCATCAACTAAATGCTTCGTAGGTATGTGCTTATCCTCCAGAGCAGTTACCATAAGTGGTTGTACGCCGATGGCGGACGCTAATCCGAATCATTTTAAAAACACACTGAACCGTTAATAAATTTCATCAGTGATTAATCATTACAAAATTATGCACTGAAAATAGTGGTTTCCCTTGAAAAAAAAAAAAAAACAGCAGAATTGAAAACAGTATGCTAGCTTACCGTTGTGGTTGAGTTCTGATGTTTACTTATTGCAAGCCACCTACCGACTGAAGACTGAGCGACACTCCCTCGACAGCGTTCTCCAACGGTCTGGTCAAGCGGAAACAGTGCGTAGGCTAGTATTGAAACCTACGTTAAAGCAGCTTGCGTGTATAAAATGCCATTCAAGGATTTGTTTTGAAAAGTGGAATTTGACACTAAGTAAAGCTTTGTTTCCTATTGTTTGTATTTTTGAAATAAAAATATGAAAGAAATTTCATAAAGAAGAATTCAAAGACAACACTTATATTTGTAATATGTATGTAAAGTGCCGCTAGAGGCTTTGTTAATGCATTAAGCGCTATATAAGAACGACATATTATTATTATTATTTAAGGATGGTTTTAGATTTTTTTTTAATCCTCCCCGAGAATACAAATAGAAGTTATTTTGAAAGGGTTTTTTCTTCTTTTTTCTATTTATTTAGGCGCACAATACATGTGCCAAGGATTGTCAATAGCGAATATATCACTGTCCTACTTGTAGGTGACAATCCCTTTCACAATACAAACATACACGCAGGATGCTGTACACAAACTAAATCTCAATATGAGATTTAGGGAGTGGAGTTGTTTTGGTCGTGAGAAAAAATCCTGCAACACTGACTGGAATTGAACCAAGGACCCTAGGATTGGAAGGTAAGCATCTCCACTCCCAAGTCACTTTTATATCTTTTGAGATGTCATTCATAAGATGGTACTTCAGTATCTTATCGGACCTTTTTTTTAATAATCGCTTTCTCCACAAAGATAATATTAATGAGTGGCTCATATCGGGTTTTTTTTTTTTTTTTTTTTTTTTTATAGAGGTCAGTAATCAGTATAGTACAGGGGCTTATGTATTTTTGTTCGCAATTCATGTTAATTTATGGCAACAACGCTTTTCCGACTCAGAATTTTATACTGAACAAGAAAAATGTTGGTGCCAATTTTTTCGAAAAGGTTAAGTGGCCGCCATTTTGGAAAACAAGATGGCGGACACATCTAGTCAAACATATATCATTATTGGGTATCATTGGAAAGGAAATAATGCACTGAATATTTTTTCCCAGTACACTCATATAAAAAAAGTAATAGTAACGGAGATATTCGCCATTAAACATGTCATTGTCTGCTGCCCTCTTTTGGTAAAAATTTTATTTTTGTAGTTCTTTGTACAAATTTACCTGATTTCTCAGTTCTAATACCGATAATTTGTAGATTCTTGTTTGTAACTGGACTGATACACTGATAACAAAAACAATTTTATTCATGCTTAGGCCTATTAGTTTTTTCATTTAAAAAAATTGAAAATCATTTTTGTTGTGTATAACTTTTATTGTATTAGATTGAGAGTTTCCTGATATATTTTTTAAAGTGCACTTCAACACCCAACAGCCGAAATTGCATAATATAGATACAATAATTACATATTCTTACTACAGGATGAAATTATTACCCTTCAGACACCATGCCGGTATTTCTGAGACTATAATTTCCGGGGGCAAAAAACAAAATAATTTAGCAGAAAACAAAAGGAACATAAAATTAAATTGCTTGATTGGGAGCGATTTTCATTTAAAAAAAAAAGTGTTAATCATAATATAGCCTGTTATCTACAATCCAAGATTTAATACGTGAAAACTATCGCCGCCGGAGACCATCATGGTACTTCTGAGTTTAGGGTTAAACAAAATCATTTGGCTGAAAAACATAAGGTGACATGAAATGTTTTTGATACTGAGAATTATGGATGAGGCCTTTTTTGTATTTTGTCATTTTAGTGTTATTTCTTATTATTTCAATAGGACCATTTCGGAAACAAGCATAAATGCTATAAGGGTTATTCTGAAATTCTCTAACTGTTGGGATTTTTTTAAAACTTTGTTTACCTGTGAGAATTTCGAAACAAATCGCATCAAATTATAATGCCAGATTATAGATAATGGATTCACATAATAATAGGCACTTCTCATAAAAAATTAAAATTGGGTAAGTAATTCCCTGTCCAACATCATCATTCTGAGTCGAGGCTAAAATAATATTACATAATTGACAGTAAAGAAAAAAAAATAAGTGATCTGAATCATGACTGCCTAATTTTGAGAGCTATAGTAGGCCTAATATCAAATTGTTAGAAATAAGTATGGACCTCAGATGATAATACAAATGCAGTGATCTAATACTATTTTATAAAAACCCTAGTGTCCAGCACATCTCAGTTTTCTCTATTAGGTGGTTTTAAGCAAGAAAGTAGTATCAACTGCAAGTTACCCCGACAGAGACATTGACACTGCAGGGGTCCTAAGTCTTCCGGAACTCACAAGTCAAGAGTCTCCGGGAAATCAAGACGGTCTCCCGCACTCCTGCAAACAAGCAAGAATCTCCGCAAATTTATAATTTTGCATGTTTTCACTGCTTTATTATCAATTTTCTAAGGCAGTCAGTGCTGGTGGGTATCACTATGTGTAGCAAAATATAAAGAAATGTATCAAGAAATCTTTAACTAGATCTGTAGCACAGTACATGGAGGAGGAAAGCCGGCTGGGCCTCCTAAATATAAAAAAAATGGGGTAGAAATGAAAATTATATTCAAATTTGTGTCTGAAAGGGCCATTTCCGGCCATCTAAACTTATCACAATCATAAATATTTTCTTCAGCTCTAACCATGGTGGGGCTGATGTGGTTCACACCCTTCATCAATGAAAGTCCCTCCCTGCCCCTTCGACCCATCACCGCAGATCTCCCGGAAATAACTTCTTCCAACTTGGAACCCATGTATTACTATAAGTGCCCGCTTTTTGTAGACAGATTTTTTTTTCAGATTCGGAGAGTGGTTTCAGCTAGGTTTGCCAAACGATATTGTTCCAGCGAAATTGTGCCTGTCGTACCAAGATGCATGAAGGTTGTTACTTCATCATCCTTTGATTTTGTTTAGTTCCAAAAATTAGACAGAAATAGATAAAGCAGAGAACTTTAATTATAAAAATTAAAATGAAATGTGCCTGTTGTTATTACTGTAGGTAAAATATTCTCATTTTTCAAAACTTTTACGTGAAAAGTTTTAACCATAGATAAATCTGTTATCATATTTATCTGAATAAACATCGCCTCTAGAGCCTCATTTGGAATAAACGCCTTAATTTTATCCTCAAATAATCAACTCCCCACCCAACCAAATGACAGTAAACAAAGCAACATCATTGTCAACAGATTCTATTGATTTTCTACTCCAGTAGAATTATATTTTTCCTTTCATTTTGATAGTAATTATGTGTTGTAGTGAAATTTAAGGGCATATATTTTGAGTATATACGTAACAAATTTACACCAAAAGAAAAAAAAATTATAATAATAAACGCCTCCTTAAAATAAACGTCCCTTCAAAACCTTTCTTAACAATGAAAGTCCCTGGGTATATATTCCAATAAATATGGTATTTACAATTACTCTGATAATCAAGCGGTCTGCTTAACGATCTTGTTTTTGCCGAGACTGGAAAATAGCAGGATATTGCAGCTGTATTAACATGCACATAAAACAAATATATTGATAGGAAACTGTCACTGCAATGAACAAATAATATGAATATTTACATTGTTTAATAAAAAAAAAAATACCCATGAATACAAATGAAATTTGTTTATCAATGTATCAAATTAGTTACAAACATAAGACTCTACAAAATATCTTTATTTACAATTAGAACCAAGAAAACCAGCCAATTTCCTAGAAACAACAATAAAAATGAAAATTTTTGAAAAAAATATCAAATTAAATATGAGAAGTGCCAATAAATTACGGAATTTCTGTTTGTTTTTATAATTTAAGGGAGTTATTCCAAATTAAGATAAGGCGCACCCAGAGGACTTTAAATCCGCCAAGTGCATGTAACCAAAGATCTTATAAACACAAGATAGCGTTCTCCGCGATTTACGCGTAACAAATAGAAGCGTCGGTCAAGGTTCAAAAGTTTCCAATTTAGCAAGAGGGCGTCATTCATGCACTATTATACCAAAGAGAAAAAGTAATCAGTTTTGGAAGAGGGC